CAAACACGGACATTACCGTGACCTCACTTGTTGACCATGTTTGCATCGCTAGTTCGTTCATCGTGTGCTAGAGCCTAGTTGTACCACTGTGGTAAAAAGAGGACGTGGCTGAGTTTGGTGGTGTTCTTGCATTTATTCAAAACACTGTGTCTTACGTCGGGCGCCAGCGGTCCACATTGTTGTGTTGCGAGTGATTGAAAACAAGATAGGCCTCCGTAAAATGGTGCTGGAATTGCTCCGAACATTTCTCAGATTCACATATGCTGAAAAGTTCAACGTAGAACAAATGCCAGCTTGAACAAAACGTGGAAGATAATTCTACTACGTACTACTTGATTTCCAACTTCTTAGAATTGAAAAGAGCAAGGCCATTGATATTATACAGTAACAAAAGAGTTGCCGAAAGAGAACAAAGATTTGATATTGTAAGTTTGAATGAACGACAAAACATGTACATAATTTAGAAGCACAATGTATAACCTTCCTTTCTCGAGTACAGCTAGCGATTTCACGCACAAACAGCTGATGTTCTACAATTTTTTCTCTTTTTTTCAACGGCGAACATTACGCCGAGATTGGCAGTCTTCTTGATGTAACCTGGTATGAAGGCACTTAGATCAGTGTGGGCTTGCTTCAAGACTACTGCTGACAAATCTGGCAGCGACACACACACAAAACTAATTAACCCTGTATCTGCGTGTTTCACTGCAAATGTCGTCGAAAGACGATAGTATTGCACGTGGAGAGAGCGACTAAAACGTTTATTTGATGTTTTGCGCGAGAAAATCGGTGAATTGTATTCGGGAAGCTTTGCGTTAGAGAGTCTTGCTCCGTGCAGCGAAGGTGAACGAGTACATAGAGGCACGTTAGGCACGAGCGCCATCTGGCAGTTATCTTCGAAAACGAAGGCAAGCGTGCGCGCCCGCGGAGAAAGATGCGCACCTGTCTCGAAAACGATAAGGTGTAGAACGCAAAGTGACGGGCAGTTGCCAGCATCGTGTCATCTTGGCAAAGCGTTGGAAACACTCGCCTTTTTGAGCATCAAGTTTTACTGTCATGGCAGCGTGATTAACGCTACGGTCCTTAGGATTACTTATAAATGCATTCTCTACAATTAGGGCACACATAGAAAACATTGAAGTGTTGTTATGGTTCCTCCGATATGCGCAATTATCGCTTTTTAATTGACAATAGCAAAAGTATGAACCCTGAAACTTGAGCAATATTGGTTGGCGCTGTGGATGGAGTTGGCCATTTGGAGTATCGTTTGAGGCTGTTAAGAGTATCGTTACGGCAGACAAACGAACAAATTTAGAGACAGGCAGACAGGCAGACAGACAGAAAAAAAAGATAGAAAAGAAGTTTTATGTCAAAGTACCTCAAGAAAGACTATTGTCTTTCAAAAGGTTTCTGGTTTGTCTACGTTTCACGGCAGGTTCAGTTTTACCTGCAAACTCTCGCCATTTTTTTCAGGTTGCCAGAGTGGCTCCCAGGCAAACTGCAAGCTCGAACTTTAATAAACTCTAGTAGAGCATTGCTGTCCGCAGTCTCATTGAGGTTAGCATTGATATAAAAATGTGTTGAACGTCATACTTATGACATGAAGGCACTAAAATATCAAGGGTATCACGTAGTAGCTGGCCGTCTCCTATCCAATATGCCCCAGACTCTTTATGGGACGTATAGAGAGTTATATCAAGGTGACTGGTCACAGAAATTTTAAGTTAAATCAATGAGTGGCAGTTTCTGAATTTTATCGAACGTTTTGTGCACTGAAGCTAGGAGTGCATGAGTGTGAGTTGTTAATAAAGCTTTATAAGATTCATTGCAAGGCTTACACCCATGTAAAGGGTCAAGAACCAGCTGGAAATAGGGGGCACAAGAGCAAGAACTTCATATTATAAAATTTGCGTTCATTAGGTGGTACTGACGGACTAGTCTGTCGTACATTATATCAAAGACAGCGGTTGGGGATCGGGAGGTATTGGCGGAGCAGCTCTTACAGCACGACGGCGGAGTGACGATTGTTCGGTTCTCCTTATTTGTTCCTAATGCTAAGGGCACAAAAATCTCAATGGCCCAGCTTATTATATTCTCGTTAATATTTACTCGCTTGTGAAGGCGCTGTTTCTACCAATTCACTTTTGCAGGAACGTCTTCCGATTTGTTAAGTAAGTAGCAGTGATCTGTCCATTTATTGTAGCGTAATAATTAGCAGAAGCAAAACGAGCTGCATAGAAATGCTGATTGGGCACGCTAGGTGACCTGTACAGTAGAAATGTTTATACTGAAGGCGGAACGGGACATTTTGCCGGAAATAGAACAAACGCGAACGAGCACGCTTATTTCAGGAGCGACATTCACTTGCAAAAGAGATATTGCGACTGTTATGTGCTCGCTGAGCTGTGGTTCTCACGCGTTCAGACGCAGTGTTTCTTACAAAGCCACGTCAAATACCACATGTATGTTTGTTACCCCATGCACAATTTTGTATACGCTTTACGCAACGCTGCTTCTGCGCTATTCACACTGCTTTCCTTTCATGACCAGGTAAAATGAGCTTGGAGCCAAGTCTGGCCCCTGAGAAGCTGGAGCCATTCTGGATAGTACCTCATAGCAAAGTGTTTGTGCTCCTGATTGGATATTACCACTCCGAGCAAAAAAATCCTCTCCTGTGATGAGTTACGTCATCTTGCACACGTCGTTGCAGTGACAGTGAAGTGCTCATTACCTAACAACTAGCATGATGCGTACATTCGTTGGTGCTGAATGGTTAAAACGGGCCAAAAGAGAAGTGTGGCGAGCTCGGAACAGCATTGAGCATAATGACGAGCTTCGAAAAAGCTGCTGCTTGCGCTAGAGACGAGTTCTTAGAGATGTACAGCAGATCTGTGAAATGTCCACCTATATCTCCAAAGTTGTTGCCGTACCAACAAAAACAGGAGCACGGCCCATCAAAACTGTGTACATATTTTGTGGCTTCTGGCAGAGGGAATGCCTCCCCTTTTCGAATTTCGTCAAGATCAGTCTGTGCGCTGGAAGCGTCAATGCTATGTATTACATTCATAAACGCGAACTCAGCTAAAGCATGATGTGATGCAATAATAAAATTTCAAGCCTCTCAAGGTATGTGTACAATATAGAAAATTGCGTAATAATGTCTTTCAAATATTCTGTGACATGTAGACCCTTTGAGCCCGTGAAGCAAAAACCAGCCACTTCGTTCAAATGTGGCTGGTCCACCATGAAATCGGACCAGCGTAAGTTATGAAGTCTATTTCAGTTTTAGTTTCGCCACTATAACTCCTCCTCGCCCGCTGACGGTTCTTCCGTTTACCATGTCTGGCATTGAACATCCGTTATTTATTACGTTCTGCGATCTTTACTTGTAACTCCTATATGGCATTTTCAGCGCCGATGTTCTGTTACTCTACTGCATCTTGCAGAGTCAGCTTATTTCTACCGTGGCATTGAAATCTGCCATCAGTACATCGTATTTTTTCTCTATCTTACTGTTGATTGGTTCAGTCATAGAGTTTCTCACAATCATACCTAGGGGGAAATCTAGTTTTAGTGAGCTGCTAAATGCAAGGGAATTATGAGATACGTGAGCTTCGAACTTCACTTGCACTTGTATGCGTCGAAGACGCGTCCGACTTCACGCTAAAATGATTGATTTCTTACTAAAAAATACGTATTAAGCAATGCGTTTTTTCATTGCACAAAACTTGTATTCAACACCAGAACGTTCTACGCTGATGCTCAATTTTAAGAAGTGTAAGAAGTAACCAGCAGCCGATAAACTTGGCAGGCAGACGAAAAAGCAAGCGTTCTTTACGCCACATTTATATCGTCTGTTTCTTTCCTTCACCGTTCGGTTGTGCCGTCAAGGTGAGAAGACTTTTATTTTAAAATATAATACGCGTGAATGAGATCTGATTATAAACGTTTTTTTGTAAGGGAAGCTTTATTCATGCGGTCGTTCTCGCTTTTGAGCCAAAGGCTCGCTCGACGCCAGCCAACTCAAGCCTCGCGGACACATATACCGTCATTCCCAGTGCTCCAACATCGTCCCTCAAAAACTTCGCATAGACGATGGCGCCACGCTTCCCTCTAGGTATTTGTGAGAAATTCTATGGATTCAGCGACTTTGTAGAAGCGATCAGCAAATCTCCATCATGGCTGGTTGGTGGGGGGGGGGGGGGGGGGGGGGAAGGCGTAGGCCTGTACCACCTCCATCTCTAACCTTTTAATAAATTTAATCACCATACTTGCCACCCTCTCAGAAATGCTAAAGTATTCTATTACGTTGCCAGATATATCTTCATGGATAAAGAACCCCCGCCTAGCGTGCCAACTACAAAATCATTGAAATTGTCCATCGTTTTTCAGCTGGTTATAGGCCTCAAGTGTCCCCCTATATTCGCTCAGTCCTATTACAACCTTGTGAACCCCTTCTGATACTTCAAATCTAGACCAGACTCACCTCACGAGATAACGTTCCAGAGTTCAACGTAACCAAGTTGAAATTACAATGCTGGTCCCACCAGACCCTGAAATTCGTTGCACTCTCCGCTGCGTCACAAGTCTGACCGCCTGTTGGGTCAGTTGCTTTGAAGCTGGAGAGGACTGAGGGAGAAGGGTTAAGTGGAGTATTCATGTGGCACGTATTGACCAAGTAATATACCAGGGTGGCCGATCATACTCTGCAGAGCTAGTGTATTTTACATTCCTTTTCATTTTTGTTATTATTCTCGATATAAAAATTATTCTTCAATATCACTTGGATCAAAAATCGCACTTTGATGCGCATGAAAAACCAGCCCGAAGCAGACCGAAGGAGAGGGTAATTTTGTATAATCTACGCTTAAGGTGACCAAAAAGTTTCTTAGCGATCTTCTCTAACTGTCGCGATGCAATACCTTGCGCCAAGAATTTTTCACTAAATTACTGCGAAACAGAGAAACTCGATGTTAAACATGTTACAAAAGTAAACTTACCGCCATGGCGTTGTACTTCCGTTCAACTGAAATATTAAAGGGCATTCAAATTACTTTGTTTTGTAAGTTACAGCAATAAGTGTGTATTCTAAAGGAAAAAGGTTATTTTTCAGTAGAACATTTAACACATGGTAAAGATATTTATGATAATCACAATCACTGAGTCACTAAAAGAAGCCCTATGTTGAACAGTAATGTTTGTTGTATTTGGTGCTTCAATGTAACACATCATCAGTGTGCTTCAATGTAAACACATCATCCGAAACTTAGCCCATCTCACTACAATTGCTGAGCACCTACATAACGATGCTGCATTCTCGAGAGAAACTTTTTTCATACCAAGCTATTAGTGACTCCAACTAAGCGCTCACCGCCGAGCGGCCGCAGCTGGAAGCGGCTCTAACAGGTACAACATTGAAAAGAGATATGTTAACACGTTGTGCACGTTTAGAAATGGCCGCATTTCTCAACGAGCCACCCCCCCCCCCCCCCCCCAAAAAAAAAAGAGAAGGCATTCTCGAAAGAGCGTTGCAGTGTGCCACAAAGTGAGGCATTGCGGTGGAAAGATGGCAACAAATCGCTTCATTCATTCCCGAAGGTTGAAAACAACGCGCGGCGGATAGAGGCGCTAATCAGAGATTTATCATTGGAAAAGTGTGAGCAACAGCACGGTAGTTTGTTCGAAACAATTCACAGGCTTTGACTCGATTCTCCTCGGTGAGTACAACATTATTCAGCTCGTGTGTATTAGTATCAATATTCCAGCTTCTCTAAGCATGGAGTACAGTTTCGTTTATATAAGCAACTGTTTTATGAAATTTGATGCGCTGCATGTGTGTTTGTGTTTTCCGCATTGCCATGACTTTGTAGCATGTGTAATTTTCAGGCATATATATATATATATATATATATATATATATATATTCGTGTGCGTGTATATGTATATATATGTATGTAACGTAAGAAGGTAGCGATGGTTGGTAGAAGCTGAAGAGGAAAAAGAGAGAATGGAATAAACATGGCGTATGAACCTGGCCACGTCACCCATTCATCATAGCGCCACACATCAGTGCAGATGTGCAGGGCAGGATTATGCCATCCAGGACGCAACAGCCAGCCTCGTCCACCGAGTTCTCTTAGATATGGCCAGACTGCCTCTCTCTGGTGTAGATTTTTTGTGCGAGTTAGGGACTCTCTTCTGAAATGAAACTATGGTGCAATTTGACACTTTTCGCTCGCTTTAACACCCGTTTTTCTTGTTTTGTTAGGTGTCTGACACGACTTCTTCCGGGGGGAGGGAGAATCCTGTAACGTAAGAAGGTAGCGATGGATAGGAGTTAGATGTAGTAGCCGGAAAGGGAATAAACATGGCGTATGAGCCAGGCCACGTCGCCCATTCATCATACCGTCACACACACACACACACACACACACACACACACACACACACACACACACACACACACACACACATATATATATATATATATATATATATATATATATATATTCTGGAAGCCTTTCATGATGATCCAACCGCTGCTCATCTAGGCTACCACAAGACTTACGACAAAATACGAAGTCGTTGTTTTTGGCCTGGCCTCTCTTCAGCCGTCGCTAAGTACGTTGCCTCCTGTGTCCATTGCCAACGGCGAAAACGACCGACAACTGCTCCGGCTGGCTTAATGCAACCTCTTCCTTGTCCCGCCTCACCTTTTGAAGTCGTTGGAATCGACTTGTATAGCCCTCTTCCTATATCGTCCAATGGGAATCGCTGGATTGTCACGGCAGTCGACCACCTTACCCGCTACGCAGAAACAGCTTCTATACCATCTGGGACTGCCACTGAGATCGCCGATTTCTTTCTTCGCCACATCTTTTTGCGTCATAGAGCTCCACGCATTCTCCTCAGTGATCGTGGCAAAGTCTTCCTATCTTCCATTGTCGAGCAAGTTTTGCGTGCCTCGAACACTGTTCATAAGACCACTTCTAGCTACCACCCGCAGACCAACGGATTGACTGAACGCTTTCATCGGACCCTAACGGACATGATCGTCATGTACATTCACCCAAACCACACGAACTGGGATGCAATTCTACCCTTCGTGACATTCGCCTATAATACGGCTGCTCAACGCACTACCGGCTTTTCACCATTTTTTCTCGTCCATGGTCGCTCGCCGAGTTTCGCTCTGGATGTCTCTTTCCTTTCGGCCCCTGCACCCTCGACGGCTCCTTTCTCTGAAGAATTCCTATCTCGTCTCGCACACTGCCGTCACCAGGCCCGTGTTAACACCGGCCTCTCTCAAGACACTCGAAAATCTCGCTACGACTCGTCTCGCCGTGTTGTGAGTTTTTCCCCTGGTGACCAAGATGCAGCGGTAGCGTGGAGTTCGAACAGGTTGAACCAGTCCTGTACGGGTCCGTCGTCCGCTGATCCGGTGTACTTAGGGATGTCAAGGTCGTCTGATGGTGCTGTCTTGATGCTGGTCTTGGTGTAGTTTGGGATGTACTTTCGTGGTCCACGTTCGGTCACTGCGTCTTGCTGACACGTTCGAAGATGGTGGCTGGTCGCTGTGTGCGGCCAGGAGATGATTCCGTAGTCGATGTATGGTCGGGGCGTATTGTGGAGAACTGCGTCGAAGATGAGACACTGATGAAGTGGCTGGGAGGTCTTCATCCTGTCGACTTGTGTGGCGCTATGATGAATAGGGGACGTGGCCTGGCTCATACCTCCATGTTTATTCTATTGTGCGCTTCTTCCTTCTCTGCCTCTACCAACCATCGCTTCATACGTTACTTATATATATATTCATACGCAACAGCCGGCACAGCCTGTCTGGAAGAAAGAGAAAGACGACGTAGGTGACTGGTTGCTGATGAACTGTCGCCATCTTGTTCGCCGAGCACAGTCCATCGTATTTAATTTATTAAATAAGTTACCCGCAACATTATTGGTGGAGGTGGACGACTCCCGTACCTCGATGGAGACGCGCAGCGGTCGCAACACCGGGGACTCTTCGGCTACTTCAACTGCCAGTGCCTTATCCCTACCGGTCTCTCGATCCGAGTCGACAACCTACGTCACCCTGCCACCCCTGCGGGATCCTGGAACTTTCTCCGCTGACGGCACCATCGTCGTTCACTCCTGGCTGCACCGGTACGAGCGAGTCAGTGCTACCCACCGCTGGGATCCCACGCTCATGCTCGCCAATGTTGTGTTCTACCTCGACGGCACACCGTGGACTTGGTTAGAAACCAACGAAGCCGAAATCACAAGCTGGGATCTTTTCAAATCGAAGATCCGTGATCTTTTCGGCGATTCATCTGGTCGTCAGCTCGCTGCCAAGAAGACTCTCGCCACTCGCGCCCAGACGTTTACTGAATCGTACGTCTCATACATTCTTGACGTCTTGGCGCTTTGTAGCAAGGTCGATCAGCGCATATCAGAAGAAGAAAAAGTTAACCAAGTCCTCAAAGGGATTGCTTACGATGCCTTCAACCTGCTGGTTTTTATTAACGTCACAACCCTCGACATGATCCTGACAGAATGCCGCCTTCTAGAAAAGGCTGAAGCCCGCCGCGTCACCCACGGCATCACGCGCCTGCCGAACACAGCTGCTACTTCCACTTGTGATGACTCCGTCCACCCAGTTCCCCGATGTGATAACCTCACCCGCATCATTCGTTGTGAGGTCGAGGCAGCCCAACCAGTAGCTACTCCATTTCCAACGCCTGATCCTTCACCGACCACTATCTCACTGATACAAGCCGTCGTTCGTCAAGAATTATCGAACGTCGGCTTACACTCTATCTGCCGAGCCTTTTTATCGTCGTCCATCCGCTCCTCGATTTGGTTCCAACTACTCTCGACAGCGCAATTTCTCCGAATGGCGTACACTGGACGACAAGCCCATATGCTTCAACTGCCGACGTGTCGGTCATATTGCTCGCCACTGCCGCAATCACTGGGCTCCGCCGGCACGCTATGGGCCTCCTACCCAAGCCACTTCTGACCACCAGTCGTCCTCAACATTTGATTTTGGTTCCCCTATGCCGACCACATCCTCTGATTCTGCCGCACCTCTGACGAAACCTCACTACGCCCGCTCACCATCCCCTGCTCGCCGTCAATCGCGTTCGCCCCCACAACGCCGTCCTGCCTCTCCGACCTATTCGCAGCGCCCCCGACCGGAGAACTAGGCAGTGCAGCTTCTGGAGGTGAAGCTGCATTGACGACGACCTCTGCAAGAAATCCTCGTGTAACATTACCGACCACCCGGAATCTGTTGAACGTTACTTTAGACAATGTACCTGTGCGCGCGTTGATCGCTACCGGCGCGCATGTGTCCATGATGAGTGCTGCTCTTCGTCGTCGCCTAAAGAAATTTGTCACACCCGGCTTGAACCGAGCCGTTTGAGTCGCTTGCGGGGGAACTGCCGCAATCATTGGCATGTGCTCTGCCCGTGTGAATATCGCCGATAGAAGCACTGCTGTTCTTTTAACCGTTATAGAAAATTGTCCTCATGAAGTAATTCTAGGTATGGATTATCTAACCGCTCACTCGGCCCTTATAGATTGTTCAGCCGGTTGTCTTGACCTTGAAATGCCTCTACTTTCTGATCTAACCAAACCACCCCAAAGTCACCTTTGCTGCATTGATTTCGCATGCCTTCCGCCTAACTGTGTAACACATGTCGACATCTTCTCTACACCACCTGTACCTGACGGCGATTATATGGTGGCACCAATTCATGCCATGATGCTTACGCATGGCGTCGCTGTTCCGCACACCATTTTGACAATTGTTGAAAACCGCACATGCCTTCTTATTGTCAATTTTGCCCTTACTGCCCAAATTCTTGCAAAGGTATCTCCCTGGCCAAAATTACTGCTCTACAAGACCATACGGTTGAACCCTTCAGAGTGGATGATTGCTGCACCTCAGACAATGAACCAACTCTATCACGTTCATCGGGCGTCGACGTTCACCACATGGTACCATCAGACCTCGCTCCTGATCAAG